GAACTGGTCTGAGCTGGTCCGAATCGGTCTGAGACGGGGCCTGAACCGGTCTGAGTCTGGGCCCATGGCCTGAGCTAATCTGGACCGGGGCCTGAACCGGTCTGAACCAGGCTCAGGCCCTGTCTGGGGCCTGAGTCGGGCTCTTACGTAGAAGGGATCCCCGCGCAGGGCTCCTTTGACCAGGGCGAAGCAGGGGTACTGCAGCAGGGAGAAGATGGCGGACAGCGACATCACCAGACCGTACAGCTTCCCAAAGTGACACGCCGGGAACCTGAGCACACACAGAGGCAGCAGCCGGTCTGGAGGGATTCTGGAAACACTGAACACTTTTACTGGTGAACGGGGGTAGAGGTGGAGAATGAGATACAGGACCAACCCTAACTTACTATAACTTTCACTACCTGGACTTTAAACTAACTTAGCTTATTTATTTATTTAATTTATTTATTTAAATTTTTTTTTTTAATGTAATTTGATTTTTTTTCTATGACTTCTACGTTGTATGTTGGAAATTTACTTCGGGTGTGGAGTTGAATATTTGATCAAATTTTACTTTGCGTGTTTGTGTGCGTCTGTGTGCGTCTGCGTGTGTCTGCTTTGCGTCTGTGTGCATTTGTGTGTGCATCTGTGTGTGCTTCTGCGTGCGTTTGTGTGTGTGTTAGTGCGTTTGTGTGCGTCTGTGTGTGACTGTGCGTCTATGTGTCTGTGTCTGCATCTGTGTGCGTCTGCGTGTGTGTGTGTTTGTGTGTGTGCATCTGTGTTTGTGTGTTTGTGTGTGTGCATCTGTGTTTGTCTGTGTGTGTGTGTCTGTGTGTGTGTGTCTCTGTGAGTGTCTGTGTGCCTGTGTCTGTCTGTCTGTGTGTGTGTGTGCATTTGTGTGTGTCTTTGTGTGTCTGTGTCTGTCTGTGTGTGTGTGTGCATTTGTGTGTGTCTTTGTGTGTTTGTGTGCATCTGTTTGTCTCTGAGTGTGAGTCTGTGTGTATCTGTGTGTGTCTGTGTGCATCTGTGTGTGTTTGTGCGGTTGTGTGTGACTGTGTGTGTCTATGTGTCTGTGTGTGTGCGTTAGTGTGTTTCTGTGTGCGTGTCTGTGTGTGCGTTTGTGTGTGTATGTGCATCTGTGTGTGTGTGTGTTAGTTTGTGTCTGTGTGTGTGTATGTGTCTGTGTGTGTGTATGTGTCTGTGTAGTGGCTAAATGTCCTTTCTTGACTTTCTTCTCTTTGACGAATG